CACTCCATATACGATCGGTTTTATATTTGATGTCATCTTGTTTGCGGATACATACTGCTTTCTGTTAGTAAAGTAGGAATTTATGAGATTAATAGGAGCCCCTCTGATGATACCATCATAGTACTATAATTTATCAATTAATATGTTGCGATCGACACAGTCGAAAGCCTTAGTTAAATCACAGAGATTGACTTGTGTTTGCAAACCCTGTTCGAGGCCCTCGACTATCTCACCCACAACTTTCAGGACTGATGCCCCCGTAGTCGAGTGACATATTATTCTGAAGCCATGTTGTGCCTCGTTTAGAAAATTGTTTTTCCTCAAAGCCATCAGCTGAACGTTTCAATTATTTCATTAACTCGGAAAACTTTCGGATATTGTCACGACCCATGGTTACAGGGTGGTGACTCGGGGGTGAACTCGCTTGGGAGGCCGAGAAATCAGAACAGTTGTTCGTTATAAAGCTACAGTTTATTGAAAGAAATTAGTTTCATTAGTGATTTTAACAAACGAGATTCAATGCAAACGTAAATACATCAGACTTCGCAATGAAAAGAAACATTTAATAGTTTGACAACATAACGATTGTGACAGTAGTACTTACAAAATAATCTCTAGCAGATGCAGGGGATGAACCATAGTGAAGGTTAGCTGATCAGATCCAAACTGATGCCTTGCCTTATCGGCTGTTCGATATTTATTTAGAATATTTTGATATAGTCAGCGTTTTACTCCATATGCGGGTATTTCATTCCGGTTGAATGAGCTGCCAACGTGAGTGAAACATTATACTCGTTTCCTTTAATCGAATGTTATACGATAAAATGAATAATGAACTTTTATTAATGAATCTTGAATCAATATAATTTTGAATAGTAGCTATATGAATATTTTTTGTTCCTATCGTGACATCCCTGGCACCTCCAAGAGCTGGCCCCACAGCTCGAACTGAGATTACTGAAGACAACAAATAATCATCTGAAAAATTGGGCCATTTAAAGAAGATATCCATATATACTTATATCATCCTGAAATTCAATCTATCCACTACTAGATATGATATCGTTAGCTATAAACAAAAAAAAATAATAATAATTTTCACCCAACCCAATATATTTCCTCGAAGGAAAATCGAAATGAACATATAGAATTATTATAGTAATCCTACCGATAGGAGTGAAAAAGTTGAACAAAAAACAAAAAATACGCCTAAATCAGTCACAAAAATAATAATATTACAAAAAATCGTTTGTCTAATGGAAAGGTTAAATCAACATACCCTACTTATTGAATGAACCTACATTATCGAAACCTGCCCTAAAGAAAAAATGAAGTATCCATCATGTAAATCCTGACCTATCCAAAAAAAAAACACAGAAAGTCGAAGCTATAAGTTTATACACTGACCCAATTATCTGGTTTATTTCGGAATCACCTTCTGAGTCCGACACTGTCTGATTTGCAATAATAAAAAAGTCATTTCGGAATCACCTCCTGAGTCCGACACTGCTTTATTCGCAAGAGTTCTCGCCTCGGTACTTGCGAGTGTGGGTGGCAGACTCTGCATTCTTCCCGACTTCGAATTCAGGAATTGCTGCGTATGCAAGTGACAGGTGATGAAACCATATATCGCACGGCTGTCTTCCATATTTGAATTGTTTGTTGTAGTGACCTTTATACGCAACCTCCATATTACGTGGGTAAGCTGAGTTTGTCGTCTCGCTTATCATGGTAGTGAGTTCCTACTGGCTTCGGTGAACTCAATATTTCTGTGAGACAACTATTTTATGGTTGTTTATTAGTACTATTACCCCAGGTTGGTGGTTAGTTCTGCATATTATACCATCCTTGACTGTTTGCCGAGTTGAACAGTCATGTCGTGAGTTTTCGGCGTATGGTAGGTTGCCGTGTTAACCTCTCCATTCAATATTTCAATGTTATCGCCGTCATTTCATGGTGATCCTTTCTTACTCAGACGTGGAGGTGTTTGCTGTTGCATGGACCAATTATTTGTGCATCTCGTTGGTATCGGGACGTACGAGATTGGGGTGTCTGCAAGGGTAGCTGCTACAATGATGATTGAACCAACAAGCAACCATGCTCTCTAGCTGTCAACGTGTGTAGATACAGCAGAACAATTATATGTGCATCTCGTTGGTATAGGGACGTGCGAGGTAAACTTGGTAGTGGATACCGAATGGGGTGTCTCCAAGGGTGGCTGCACAATGATGATTGCCCTCGTGATTGCCCTCTACTGAGACTAGTACCGTACCATCAAACAACCATGATTTTCAACTGTCAACGTGTGTAGGAAGTAGCAGGAATCTGTCCAGTTACAGTGCTCCAGGAACTAGGTGACTGTTGCTCATCCATCACCCCTGATGATTCACGGTCGAGAATTATAGCACAGTGTCGTGTCATTCCAGTGTCTCCAGTGCCTCCAGTGTTCCAGTGTTTCCAGTGTTCTCAGTGATTCGGATATATGTAACGAAAGAAAAAAAACCAGGTCAGTTCTTATTTTAACAGTTTGTTAAGATACAGAACATCCTTTAACTAATCTAAGTACAATATTCACTTGTCCTATATTTTTTATAAGAACATGGACAACTTCCTCAACTCATAGAAGACAATATCCAATTACAATGGTATTAGTTCGATTACCCCGTATTTGCCATAATATATGTTTTTTTTTTCTGATCAATACTTTACTAACATCTTCTCCCTTCCCACCTGAATTCAACATCAACATTTTATTTTTTCCTCGAGTTTTTCCTCTACAACATTACCAAATATTTTTAATACTCAGTGACCCCTAAAAGTTATCTATTCATGTTCTACAACAAATTAACACCTGTACTGCGCACCTATTATTTCACAAAATATATGTATCTTTTTCCCAATTTAAGTATCCATCTCAGTATTCTTCAATCTTTCGATATCCATAACTCTGTGGGAGCGCTTCCATACAAAATAATCTCTAGCAGGTGCAGGGGATGAACCATAGTGAAGGTTAGCTGATCAGATCCAAACTGATGCCTTGCCTTATCGGCTGTTCGATATTTATTTAGAATATTTTGATATAGTCAGCGTTTTACTCCATATGCGGGTATTTCATTCCGGTTGAATGAGCTGCCAACGTGAGTGAAACATTATACTCGTTTCCTTTAATCGAATGTTATACGATAAAATGAATAATGAACTTTTATTAATGAATCTTGAATCAATATAATTTTGAATAGTAGCTATATGAATATTTTTTGTTCCTATCGTGACAATATATACAGAGAAGTGAACAAAAAACGGCCAAGACTGTAACTTTTGAATCATTCGAGATAGGGTTTTGAAAATTGGTGGGCAGCTAGTATACCGAATTGCTCATTGAATAACGAACAACTTTTGTTCTATAACTTCCGGTTTCACTGGAAACGACCCCAACTTTTGATTTTTAAATGGGACACCCTTTATTGTATTTCATAATCGGTTAGGGATTTCCATAACGAATTCATCGATACCGGGTGGATAAGGTTATTTCAAACGATAACGCAGATATTCGCGTTCTCAGTTTCCATATGCTCAATAAGTGTGACAGTGAGAAAGAAGTTCTGATATTGCGAAGTCACGCCCATTGAGCATATGGAAACTTCGAACGCAAATATCTTTGTAATTGTGTGAAATAGCCCTATCAAACAGGTATCGTTGAATTCGTCATGATAATCCCTAACCGATTATGGAATACAATACAGTATAGGGTGTCCCATTTAAAAAACAAAATTTGGGGTCGTGTCCGGTGAAACTGAAAGTGATAGAAGAAAAATTGTTTCATCAATTGATGAGCCATTCGGAATACTTGCTACCCACCAATTTTCAAAACCATATCTAGAATGATTCCGAAGTTACAATCCTGGCCGTTTTATTTGCACTTCTCTGTATTGTCCTCATTAAAGATATCCAAAACCGAATAGCCATAACAATTCTCGATTTTTCAGACAACTCTATAGCAAATGGCTCCACTATGCTCATGATTTGGATCCTGGCCCCATTCTGATATTTTCTCCAGCATGTCAACCAATCCACTTTCTGATATAGGTGGTACTTCTCTAGAGTATACTTGAGTTCAGAAGTCTGTCAAATTCAAAGGGTATCTCATTTGTTTTCTTTGAATGTTTGACCTAAAAACAAGTTTAATCCATCAATATTAGTAGAAAAATTCATAATTATCAAATTCCAATGAACACATGAATGAATGAACAACAAATAAATAGAAAGTAGGTAGCTAGAATGAATATAAATTGAATATAATAGAGTTTCCAAGAACCTTATTAACCTCTTACCTCTTACATGTTCATTAAAAATGTTGAAATCATCAAATCATTCTGAATTCTAATCCTCACCTTCACAACAAACAACAAAGCCAGATAACAAATATTTGTAAGACTCTTCAGGCCTTCATTTGCACTTTGGAATAATATCTGTGATGAGAGGTAAATATCAATATTTATTGTAACGGGTGGATCAGCATTAGGTGAACAATTAGAATCAGAAATTTTCATTGTGAAGGGATCCAAGTAATTGATAATAATTCTCAATTTAATTTTATACCTGAAACCTGCAACAATAAACATAGTGCTTAAAAATGTAAACAATAAAATGATAGGGACGTATTTTCGAACATACCGTTGAAGAAGGTCTCTTAACAATGTCTTCAGATTATCATTCTCCATCTCCATCTCGGCGTTTTTACACAGCCGAAAAAGCTTCAGAAACAGAAAAAAAACAGCAAGAAACTATCCAATGTCCACACCAACAATGCTAACCTTATGGCGCTACCTGGATTGTGTGCCAACAGCCGCCATATTGGGTCACGTGGTTGGGATTGCCTAATAGAACGCAAAGCTTTGGAATTCTTTGTCAATGGAAGTATTCCTAAGAACGTTATGACAACATCCAATAATAGTTCAAACAAATTACAGCACCTACATACCTTATTTCCCTATCCTCCCTAGGTACCCACGATTTCTGCGAAAATTATAGGAATTTCCTTTTGTTCACAATTGCATTATATGCGTATATAATTAAAAACAACTTTTTTATTATCACATTATATTTTCACCGCAATTATTGACAACGTACACAACATGTAATTTGTCAAGATTGAGAAAAATACTGTGTGCACACTTAGTAGATGTATAGGTACTCGTTTAATTAATGAGAAAAATAATTTCATGCAATCAAATAATACCATGTTATGGAAATCGGATAATTGATATGAAGGTACAATGTCAACTTCATGATTAGTCCGAAATCACATTTTGTTTAGAACACAGTGACAGTGAAAAACAATTACAAAACAACTAGAAGTCATTGCTAGTTCCAAGTATCTTTTCGCATAATGAATCATCAATTTGTGATGTTCCTTCTCGGAATCTTATTTTCAACTCATATTATGGCTATCACAGATTTACGTAAGTTGAATCATGAAAACAATTATTACGAGTAACAGTGAAACTTACCTAAATTTTGGAAGATGAGATATACAGTGTGACTAAGATAAGGTTATACCGTAGAATGGAGATCCTTGAAACACTTTTCAGATACCAATATTATACGTGGCAAAGTTATTGATCATGGTAGGGAATTTTGATCATAAAAGATGCATTAGTTGATGTACCTACTTTACCGGGTGGCTACGGAAGTATTGCCTACGGAATATCTCAGTTATCGTATGAAGTAGGTTTGTGAAATTTGGAGCGTCGATATAATGACATAAGAGCTAGAATTTGAGCATATTGACATGTCGAAGTTAACTTCCGGTCTGACCGGAAGTAACATCAACTTTCTTATTTTAAATGGAAACCCAATTTTTTTCTTTTCGCTTTATTCAGCATTCAATTCACTTTCTAATGACATATCACAAGTTGGTATCCAACCAGAAACTAGATCAGAAAAAAATCATTATTGAAATTCACCGAGTAGGCCGTGGAAGCAAAATGACCGACTAATAAAATAGATAAACTAAGGTAAAATAAAATAAGGTGAGGGGGTTAATTAGACTAGAACAGATGGAGTAAATTATATTAGCAAGTTCAGTCGATTTTTTACTGAAGCGTATTCAAAAAAGCTCATCATTAAAATAAAGTAGGTGTAAGTATTATCAACCAGGGCAGTGTATGTATTATATTCTCATTCATTCTATTATTCTGTGAATCATTTCTCTAGAGTTTTCGAAAATATAATTTTTCAGTTGATTTTTGAAGTTTTTTAATGTATTTTCAATTTTGATATAGTCTGGTAGTGTGTTATATAGTTTAGGGGCTTGATAAGTGTAACATTTTTGGCCAGTCGCTTTCTTTGTCTTTTTCAGTACGTATGTTTTATTCTTGTTCCTTGTGTTGTAATCATGATCGTAATTTTTGAGTTGATGTTTATTTTTATGTTGGCAGATGTTTGTAAAATAATAGTATAGCTGCCGTATGTCCATTATAGAGCTTTCCTGAAATAGATTGTCGGATGGATAGGTGAAATCCTTTTTATACATGACTTTGATGATCTTTTTCTGAATAATTTCGAGATTGGTCAGAGTCGTTTTACCAACATCACATGCTACTATACCATACATTAAATGCGGCTGGACAAGTGAGATACAGACTGTGTGTATATAGCATTTCAGGATTGAGAATCTCTCGTAAAACTTCAAATTTGAATATTAGAAATCTAACTTTCTTAATAACATGTTTGACGTGTTTATCCCATTTCAGATTTGCATCCAAAACAACACCCAGGTATTTGAATTCTGTAACAGCATTTATATATCCGTTATTCAAAATATTTATTGTTTGGAAGTCTGGTGATGTACTGTCAATATATGTCGGAAGGAATGATGTTTTTGTGAAGTTAATGGTTAATAATTTGCTATTGAACCATTTTTGAATTATAATGAGATCTTTTTCTGCCATTATTTTGACTTTTTCCCAGTTCTCTTCTTCATAGAAGATGCAAGTATCGTCAGCGTATGCTATGATTTCACCGGTCGTAGGAACTGAGAAAAGATCATTCAAATAAATGTTGAAAAGGATCGGTCCCAGCACGGATCCTTGGGGTACACCGAAGGTAATTTCTCTTTGCTCGCTCCTGATGTTATTAATTTGTACTAACTGATATCTCCTTGTGAGATACGTTTTAATTAATTGTAGTCCAACGCCTCTGATACCCACATCTTCGAGAGATTTTAGTAATAGTGCATGGCTAACGGTGTCAAATGCCTTTGAAAGATCAATGAAGACACTCAAGGCCATTTTATCAGTATCCATTGCATTATACATTTTGGATGTTAGGTGTAAAATAGCATCCTGTGTCGATACACCACTTCGAAATCCATATTGTTTGTTGGATAAAATATTGAACTTGCTGAGATAGGAGCATAACCTGATTTTCAGAAGTTTTTCGAATATCTTGGCAAATGTAGTTATAAGTGAGATAGGTCTATAATTATATATATATGTATATATTTGATTTTATGTGTACCTACTTTATATTTTTATATATGTAAAAATTTTTACGACTTTGTCAATGAGATATAAATCTTCGGACAATAAAGCATATTTTGATTGATTGATTGAATAGCCTCTAAGGGATCACCGGATTTGAATATTGGTTTTACCAGAGATATTTTAAACACAGAAGGAAAATATCCTTTTTCTAGGCATCTATTCAATAAATTTGCTAATGGTTCAGAGATATGCTTCACAATACATTTTAGAGTTTCACCAGTAATTCCATCTTCTCCCGGAGACTTTTTGTTTTTCAATTCCTCTACGACTCTGATTATTTCTGTAGGCGTAGTAGGTGAAAGAAAGAAAGAGCTCGAGTTATTGTATTTTTTTTTAGGGGGGCATAGTTTGGATCCACTGCAATTTGGTTAGCTAGGCCTGGGCCTACTGCAATATAATGTTCATTGAATACATTGGATATTATTTTTCCATCAGTGACAATATGACCATTTTTTTTCATTTGTTTAATGGATGTCCTATTTTGTTTGCCGGATGTTATTTCCTGTATTGTGTGCCACATCGCTTTATTATTATTTGCATTTTCAAAAATTTTCTGTTTATAGAAACCATTCTTAGCTTTTTTCAAAATGAAATTAAGCCTGTTTTTGTACTCCACATATTTTTGATTCAACTCGTAGTTGAAGTTTGTTCGCAAAGTTTGATACATTTTGTCTCTTTCATTTATTGATTCAATCAATCCTTGGGTTATCCAACTTTTACGTTTTCTTTCTTTATTTTTCACCGTGTAACTACAATTTTCAATTTCTTTGGTAATCAATGTTACAAATTTTTCTACTGCTGGGTCAATATCTGTGATATCATAAACAGGGTTAAAGTTAATATTTTTCATATTCATGGATAATTTGTTGGAATCAATTTTTGTGTATGTGTTTGCCTTGTTTTTGGTGGTGGTAGGTTTTCTATTTGGAAAAATAATTTGTAATAGAACGGAATAATGGTCTGTTATTCTAGATTTCATAACAAAAGGCAGAAGCAGTTCTGTGTTTTCAGTTACTCGAGTGTGTTTATTTATTGTGGACACAAAATTAAATTCACTCAGTGTATTAATATAGTCTACAGAGTCTCCATTATCATCATCAAGCAGGTCAATATTAAGATCACCCGCTAAAATGTAGTGATGAGTTTCTCGGTCAGTAAGTAGCTTCTTAGGTTTTCTATAAACTCTGCTGGTGGGTTTGATGGAGATCTATAGCCTGATAGAATTTTGATCAGCTTGTTATGAAATGTCACTGCCGTAAGTTTCAATTTGTTGCCGTTATCAAGAGAAATAATTTTGTAGGTATAATCCAAAGATGATTTGATATATACCATTGTACCATCATTTTGATTAAAACTGCCATAATTGTATAATAAGTTATACCCATCTATATTCAAAATATTCATATCATCTATTTGCCAGGTTTCAGTCAGGATTATACATTCTGGTTTGTCTGAGAACTGTTCGAGGTAACATAGCAGTTGATCAAGATTCTTGATGAAAGCGCTTCTAATGTTATTGTGGAATATTTTAAAATTATTATTGTTGTGATTTACTTTGAGAACTTCATCGCATTCGTAAAAATTTTCTAGAACAATTGTTTCTACTTCATTTGTTCTGTATAGTCTCTGATATAATCATCCATGTTGAATTCTACTAAAAAGTGATAGATGAATTATTTTATTATTCTATTCAATTACTAACTAATATAACGGACGATTGAATAAAAAATAAGAAATTATATTCGATTGAAAAATTTTGCAATAACAATAACATGAAATATTAATTTTGTGAATATAAATGAGTTGGTGGGGTTATTTTCTGGTTGTTGAGCGAAGTCGTAGTTTTTCTGTGGATGCTTGGCTTGGGTTTGGGTTTGGTTTCTGTGGTTTTTTAGGGAAATTTTGGTTTGTTGATAGCTGTACCTTCTCTATTTGCTGGATGCCTGTTTTTTTCGTTTGTGTTTTAATTTGCGTTTCCGTCTCTATTTCACTGTCAGATTCTATATTCCGGTTCCCGGTGTTTGGTGTTGCGGGTGCACTGTGGTTTTGTTTCTCAACAGTTTCTTCCTCTTTCTCTTCTCTCAATGTTTCTGCAGTATAGGCGGTCCCATCTACAAATAATTTGTTTCCTTTTATGTTACTTATTATGCCTAGCAATAGTTTGTTATCTTCCCTTTGTTCAAACGTCAGGTCGTGCGCAATACTGATCTGGGTACCTTTCAGTTTCTTGCAGTTTCTGAAAATTTTCTGCTTCTTCAGGTTGGAAACTAAGTCAAGTTTGATCGGGTTGTTTCGAGCATTCTTAATCCAAATGAATTTGTTGACATCCGACTTTGATATAGTTACACCCAGTAGTCTATGAATTTCCTCGAAAACGAATTCCAAGGATATCGCTTCTTCTTTTGTTTTCATTCCAAATATGACAATACCATTTTCTTTCGATTTTCTCTCTAACGTTTCGACTTTACTTTTCAATTCTTTATTTTCCTTTTCCAAATATCTAATTTTGTCTTTCAATGACTCAATTTTCAATACAACTCTTGCTTCACTGGCTTCTATTACATTTCTCAGTTCAGTTCTGTTGTTAACTATTTCGTTCAGGAGTTTATTGAATTGTTCATTTTCATTCATTTTACCACGTACTTTTATTGGAGGTGTATGGTCTCCTTTAATTTGTATAGAGTTCCGCAAAAAATGAACGGAATGTCTCTCAAGGACTGCTATGTGATGGGTGTTTCCCTGTGTTTATCTTCTTTCTAACTTCAGTTTTGAGTATTGAATACTATTGATAAATTACCCAGATGATTGCTTTTAGTGTTATTTCGTACGTGTTTGACTTTCAGAATTATATGTGGACTGTTACATACCAAAATAAAATAATTTCTGAGCACAACGTTCAGGTGATGTCCACACTT